ATTGAGCATCTTTATAACCAGTGTTTTGAACTCTGCATCTATGAGATTGCTTGACTCCATTATTCCTGGATCTCTGTTCTGTTCTCTCATATGGTTTCTGCTTCTTTGTCTTCTCATTTTGGCTGCCTTTCTGTGTCTGTTTCTATGGACTAAGCAAAGCTCTTAAGTCTTCCGGTCTTATTAGTGTGGCTTTGTTTGGTAGGTGTCCAGTGGCATAGTTCTGAGAGGGGTTCAGCTGCAGGCCAAGTTTACCCCCAGCCTGTGCCCCTCCGGTGCCATCTGTTAAGATTCAGCAAGCAATCCACAGATGCTGTGCTTATAGTTGCTTCAAGAAGCCATGTCAGAAACCAAGGTCAGCTGCCACTAGTGGGAGTTGTGGTTCTGCTCAGCAAGGAGCAACTGACTCATCAATGATACACTTAGATGTGGCTTAGGTGGGGCTATGAGTTTGGGGATGTGGGGTTTTAGGAAATCCTCTGGGCGGAGCAACCTCTGTTATCCAGTTTGATGATGTCTCAGCTATGGTAGCGCTGTGTCAGCACACTGGGAGCGGGGAGGGCTCAACAGAGGAACAATGGATACCGCTGGCACTTCTGTCTGCGGGAGACTCTAACCTCTGGCCCTCTGACAACTCAGTGTACCTTTGTAAGTCCCTGGTACCTCCTACACAGCCAAACCGGTGCTGGTGTTCAGAATGAGTAGGTCCATCACTGCGAAAGTCTGCTTGCAGACAAAGCCCCTTTAAGAGGCATCTGCAGCTGCCACTGCTGTAACCTCTGTCCCGCTCATCTGCTTGGGACCAGGCAGCCTCGCATCCTCACCCCATCCTACCTCCTCCCGTTGCAAGGTGATTTCTTATTTTTCTCCCTAGTTGTAGGGCTTGTTCATCTAGATCCCAGGTGACTTTCCTTGCTGTTTGCTCCTTGTTTCTGTCACAACACTGCTAAGGAATTACTGAGTTAAAGAAAAAATCATAATAAACATATAAAAACAATCAGAACTACATGAAAATAAAAATACTACCAAAAAAAGTAAGGGATGCAGCAACAGTCTTACTTGGGGAAGAATTTTATAGCCTTAAATATTTACATAAGAGAAGGAAAAGGGGTGAAAATTATTTACTATGAATAAACTTTTTAGTTAGGACAATAACACTAAACTCAAAGAACTTAAAATTAAAGACATAATTACAAACAGAAATCAATCAACTACAAAACAAAGATAAAATACAGAACAATAAAAACAAACATTGGTGCTTTGAAAAAACTAATAGACAATCTCTCAAAGTATTGGTAGGGACAAAAAGAGGGCGAAAACAAGTATGAATGACAAAGGAAGCATAACTACAGATAAAAACAGATTTGAAGATAATGTCAGCAATTATATGCCAAGAGTTTTGGAAACAGATGCAATGAATACATTTCTATAAAATGTAATTTTTCAAAACTGACTCAAGAAAAATTTAAAAACCTGAAATTTCTGGACATGATAATAAAACTGAAACAGTAGTTTACAACCTTCTGATAAAGACAGAAGCAGACCCAGATGACTTTACTGGCAAGCTCTAAGAAGTTTCAAGGAAATTATTATCTTAAACATTACACACATTTTTTATTGTGATAAAGTATACATAAAATTTACTAATTTATCTAGTTTTAAATCTATAGTTCTGTGGCAAAGAATGCATTCATTTTTTTTTATAGCTATCACTACTATTCATCTCTGCAAATTTTTTATTTTCACCTATTAAATACTGACCATCATTCCTCCACCTATTAAATACTAACCATCATTCCTCCTCCTTCCAACCCCTGGCAACCACCATTCCACTTTCTGTCTCTATGAGTTTGATGACTCTAGAAACCTCATATAAAAGAACTCACACAACGTTTGTCCTTACATACAAACTTTTTGAGACAATTGAAAGAGAGAATATTTCCAGCTCTTTTGTGAGGCCAGTGAAAAACCAGACCGAGGCATTTTGAAAAAGAAAATGGCAAGCCTATTTT